GAAGGGGGAGAAAATGTGATGAAAACCTCATGGGTCAAGATAAGGACAGGGAGATCACCCAGCAATTGCAGTCAGGGGCAAAACAGGCTCAACTTGGGGAAGATTAATTTATTGCCAATTAACAGAGTAGGACAGACAGAAACAAAACTAAACCGCCTCTCTTCCTCTCCTACCCACCCCCCTGCCTTCTTCCCAGGTCCAACTTCACTCCTGACTCTTTTACCTCCTCCCTCCACTTTGAGTTGCGCAGGGCGATGGGAAATGGAGGTTGTGGTTGGTTCGTAACACTTTGTCTCTCTCCTACTCCCTCCACCTTCATGAACTTCTCCCACTTGGATCTGCCATGGGCTGCAGTTCCTGCCTGAAAACCTGCAGCTCCATGCTCTCCTCTCCATGTCTGCAGCTCCTGCCAGGAAACCTGCTCCAGCATGGGCTCTCCAGGGGCTGCAGTTTCCTTTAGGGCACATGCACCTGCTCTGACACAGGGTCCTGTACAGGCTGCAGGGTGGATATCTGCTCCACTGTGGACCTCCACGGGCTGCAGGGGGACAGCCCACCTCACCATGGTCTTCTCCACAGGCTTCTCTGCTCTGGTTCTCGCAGCATGGCCTCCACCTCCTTCTTCACTGACCTCGGTGTATGCTCGGCTGTTTTTCTCTTCCCTCCCTCCCACTGCTCTCTCACAGCTGCTGGTGCAGCATTTTTTACCCTTTCTCAAATATGTTATCACAGAAGTGCTACCAACATCACTGATGGGCTTGTTGCACTGTAGGTTAAACAGCGAGTCATGAGCGAGTCCCCCTTTCAGACATGTGAGTCTGAGAGGAGCAAACATCTTTTGAAGACAAACTCTTGTTGGCAGTTTTGGTAAGTACATATTAGGAATTATTTCTGAACAGTAGGAAATGGAATAAAAAAAAATCTTAATCGTATCATTGGAGAGGATTTGAAAGGCATGACTGATTGCAGAACGAATGCCTCGCCGCCTCCTAATTACTGGGACGAGTCACACATTAATTAAGAACATGCGTAAGCCTTTGCAAGATGTATGTTGTGTGCAAGTCAGTGGGTAGGACAGAAGCCTGGGGAGACTGTAACTTAGATTACATTGCTCCAAGATATATTTTAATGATTACAATGCTTTTAAAAAAATTACACAATGCAGTAAGATGTCTAAAATTCAAGTGAGGCTACCAAAGAAAATCTAAAATTTTAAAATACTTGTCAATTTGACTGAAATGCGTATTTACTCAGTTCCCTTGAGCTTTTATTTTTTCTTCTCCCCATTGGAGGAACAATATCTATAGTAATTGTTCAATGCTACTCTGGCTGTTGGCAGCATCATCTTTACGGTATTCCTCAATTCCCCTTGCAAATATGTCTCTGTCCAAAATGGGGACAGCTTCTGGTGTCTTTTCACAGATGCCACCCCTGCAGCCCTCCCAGCTACCAAAACCTTGCCACGCAAACCCAATACACTTCAGCAGCAGAAGTCTCCACAGTGCTGAAAAGCTTATTCTTTACTGTGCCCATGGTCCGTGTACGGCAAACGTTTTATTTCTTATTAGAATATGTAGTGCATCCATAGTAATTATTGCAATGAAATTCTAAAACCCCATCTATTTACTGTATACTCTTTAGAGCCCCCAACGTAGGAAAGACATGTTGGAGCGTGTCCAGAGGAGGGCCATGAGGATGATCCAAGGGCTGAAGCACCTCTCCTGTGAGGAGAGGCTGAGAGAGTTGGGGCTGTTCAGCCCAGAGGAGACTCTGGGGAGACCGTGTTGTGGCCTTTCAGTACCTAAAGGGGCTTTTTACTAGGGCATGTAGTGATAGGATGAGGGGGAATGGATTTAAACTGGAAGAGGGGAGATTTAGATTAGAGATTAGGAAGAAATTATTTACTGTGAGGGTGGTGAGGCACTGGAACAGGTTGTCCAGAGAAGCTGTGGATGCCCCATCCCTGGAGGTGTTCAAGGCCAGGCTGGATGGGGCTTTGGGCAACCTGGTCTAGTGGGAGGTGTCCCTGACCATAGCAGGGGGGTTGGAACGAGATGATGTTCAAGGTCCTTTCCAACCTAAACTGTTCTATGGTTCTATATTATATATTTCATGCTCCTTAGAACACTAGTTTTCTTTGACTTTTTGTAATTTAGATTTTTCCATAATCAGTAACTCTAAATACTTACATTATACCTAAGTTTCTCCTCCCCCCTTCAATCTTTAGTTTAGCTTGATAGGGTTACTTAGAGTTTTAGTTGAAGTCCAGCTTCACTAGTTGCTTTTCTTCACTCTCAGTGTTTGTCCACACTCCCACTTGCTACAGAGCTGTGGGAAATCCAAATGTAGGCTTATGAATTACTTCTCCACCTGATTTAATCTGCCCACGTTGGTTACACTGACCGCATTACCGTTGTTTGGTAGAAATCTGGCAATAGATCTTTTTTCAAATCAAGTTGTGAAAAGAAGAAAAATCACTGTATTGCTGTATGACGTGATTTTATTTTTTCAATGAAATGCTCTAACATCATAAAACAGAACACATTTTCTAATCTTGAAGCCAGCAAGATTGGGAAAAAAAAAAAAAAGAAAAATCGAACTTGGTTTTCCTATACATAATTTCCATACTGAGACTACATTCAGAGAAAAAAAACCCTAGAATTAAAATGTAAGCAGATATTACTTCTGCAGCTCTCTTCTTAAAAATAAACTGGACATGTCATACAACTCACATATGGTGCTTTGCTAGTACAATATGCTACAGATAGAATTATTCAAATGCAACTATGCAGCTTTGCTATTACCTAAGACCTTTCCATTTTCTTATGTTGAAACAGTTTTGTTATTTACTTCACATTTCATTACCATACTACAGAACGATCTTCTCCCCTTTTCCGGTGGCTTGTTTCTCGGAAGGGGAGCCTTCACCGTGGCTTTCTTTGGAAACAAGCGCTCAGTTTCAGATATTGAAAATATTCAAAGCATTTCAATATACGTTCACAACCAGATTAAGCCTCCATGTTTCAAGTAAGGGTCTCATGGCTTGCTAGTAAACTGATGGAAAGAGCTGGTTAGTACTTACTTCTGTTCTCATTTATGAGAACGTGATCTGGATAGCTGTAATGCCTCGGAAGTGCCCTCATCTTTGTTGGTGAGCTGAGTGTGCACCATCATATCCTGCACCAGAATTACCATAACTCAAAGTCTGGGTTCTCTCACAATATTTGCGGACAGACCAAAATAACCGTACAACTTTTTAAACAAATGACACTTACAAAAAATATTTGCATTTGTAGAACTGCATAATCTCATTTTCAGTGAGGTTCTTAGGTCAAAAGTACCATTTCCCTCATTAAACATGGCTTTAAAAATACAGTATACATAACGCTTACGTTACAAATGTCTGAAAAACATTGGATCAATCAACATTTCAACTCATTGCATTAATAAGGAAAGTAAACAGCAGTACTTTTGGAAAAGTATTCAAGTAATTCCCTGAAATACTATATAACGAAAAACAGATCCTGAACTTTGTATAACTGTACTTTAAGCAAATATCATTTGCAAGTGCTTTTTTGTCATATACAGCAGTATGAATAATACTTTGTAGCAAAGGTATAGCACACCATTTTGATATTACACAAACTGGAATGTAAATAAATTCAATTGAAAAAAAAAATCAGCCGTTTATAACGATTTTCAAGTGCTTCAGTAATAAACTGACCAATCACCATGGCTTACACAGAGCAAATACGAGAGACATGAAAGTAATGCAAGCTGAATGACAGAAGTGACAATAAATACACATGAATAAAGAATCACTAGCTGTCAGACAGAAAGAAACCCTCAGATGCAATGAGTTTTACACTCAAGAAAAGACAGAAGAGAGCAGGGGCTAACTTCTGTTCCTTAAACAGGAATAAATCCGTATGAAAAAAGCAAAATTCAGTCCCAAGCCTACACACAGAACATGTGTGTGTCACAATACACAAATCCGAACACAATTTAAACAATCACTCCATAGCCATACACAATAGTCTAATGATTTTTGCTATGAAAAACAAAGCAGCACAGTCAATTCATGATTTATCAGATGCCAGTTTCTTCCCTTGACTTCACAAAACAAATTTTGTTTCATATTTAGTTAAATAAACATTATTTAAAAAACTTTAAACCATCAAATCATATTTTTAAAGATAACATTCCAACATCTTATTTTGCACAGACATTTTAACGTATGTAATAGAATTTCCAAAGAATTGTGTACTGAAGAAGGAAGCTTTTCAGATATTAATTTTAGATATTTTAAAAAAATTAAAACTTGCTGGTGTTTCAGAAGATATTTATATTTTCCCTTGCCTGTGCCTTCCTGGTATTATAAGTATTCCTGCCAGTTGCTTGCAAGACATTTCAGTTGCAGTGTGGTATCATCCAAACAGTCATACAACCCTTTATAATCCCAAAAAGCATCATGCAAGGAAGCCTTTATAAATAGAATATATAGGATAAGGTATGATCTGTATACAGATGTGCTTTTATTTTTCAAAGTATTTCTAAACTCTTATTGTTATTACTTAAAGCCAGGAATGTGTGTTCGAATTGCATTGATAAGTTGCAAGGTATAGTCAGAATTACAAAATGAAAGATTTTACTCAAAAAAAAAAAAAAAAAAGATGTGAATGACAACACTTTTGTCCAGCATTTAAGCCACATGCAACTAGATAGTGCTCCCAGCAGAAAATGTCTCAGACATTGAAAATATCTTGTCTTGATATCTTAGTTTGATGACAATGGGAAGTCCAATGTTTTATAACATTTAGGTATTATTGCAACACAACTGCTAAGTTAGCTCTCTAGAGAAGCACAGAGAATTTATCAGTCATTGTGAATACATATATATACGACAGTCCTCTTTTCTAACATAACTTAGATTACATTGCTCCAAGATACATTTTAATGATTACAATGCTTTTAAAAAAATTACACAACGCAATGTCTAAAATTAAACCGAAGCCATAAAAAAAAAATCTAAAATTTTAAAATACTTGTCAATTTGACTAAAATGCATATTTACTCAATTTCCTTGAGCTTTTATTTTTTCTTCTCCGCATTGGAGGAACAATGTCTATAGTAATTGTTCAACGCTACTCTGGCTGTTGGCAGCTTCATCTTTATGGGTCTCCTCGATTCCCCTTGCAAACAGTTTCATTAACTGGCAGTGAACCCTGAAAAATATGGAAATCAATTCATATGAAATTAACGGGTACTACATATTTAATTCTAATAAGCCTTGAATTTCAAGCAGTTGGATAAATTTCCTTGCTCCAGATTACAGAAACCGTGCTCTTGTTCTTGATACAATCCTGCCCTGCAAAGAAGGCTGGATGCTTTCATGTATCCAACACTCCAGTTAATCCTCTTTCCCCTACGCAAAGTTCTACAGGGCACTTGGATGAGCTGGTCATATACAATATACAATATTTATAAAAATCACTTTGGACTGCTAAGTGGTTATGTTTTAACGGAACACACTTGCATGGAAATATTTTGTATTTGTTTTGGTTCCCTTTGTTCTAGACACACCAAACAAAAACAATCAACCCAAAACCCCCTCAAACAAAAAAGAAAAAAGCCCTTCAAATTTCACAAACCTCTATTCCCTTCTAATTTGATTATGTGCACAACTGAAAACCTCTTTCTCCATATGCCAAGGCTGGAGACAAGACCGTGCTGTGTGTCAAAAAACACAAAGCATGGGACATATTCACTATTTCTGTAAGTCAAAGATGCTTACTTAAGTTCAAGTTCAATAGGAAAAGCTAGTGCCGAGAGTAATGAGGTTCTCCACTCATGTCAAAAGAATCCTCCCAACACCAACTTCACCTTCAGCACTTCAAGCACATAGTATCAGTCCTTAAGAAGTAAGTAGGACTTCAAAGGTAGGGCCATCCATCTATCCCAGTCAGAGTGATCATTTACAATACACATGGTTGGAATATTCGCGGGAAAGGACTCAAAAAAGTAATAAAAAAATAAAATCAAGTTTATTGTCAGAAGACTCAAATTCGCTATATGGAGGCACCTTCCTGGGATGTCTTTATGAGCACCTTTAAAGTAATGAAAAGGCTTAATGCTTTCTGGTGTATGGAGAGAAAAAAACCCGATGCTTACCTCACTTCAATTGTTGAACTGTCCAGAGTTTCTCCATCACAATTCCAGGTGCTATTAGTGATATTACAGCAACAGGCTGGATGATCTCTGCAGAACTGGCCGAAACGTTTCTTTCCTATGTCTGTGACATTGCTTTCGTTGTCTTCCGAAAGCTTTGATGTAAATTGAAAACCCTTCACCCGATAAACATCTACAAACGAGAAGTCAAACTACAAAGAAAAAAAAATATGAATCAAACCAAGCAATTACAATTAGTTAAATACATTTGATGTGTGAAGCAACTCAGCATGCAACATTTTGTATTCAAGACAGTTTGTCCACTCCAATTTTCTAGAGAAGCTTACCTGAGGCATAGAGTGATTGTTTTTAAAAAACTGCCCAAGCCAGAAACAATAAAGCAAAAATGGAACCTTACTTTTCAACACGTCCCAGAAAGAAACAGCAGGGAAGCACTGGGAGGGGAACGACCACAGTGGCAATCACAAAAAGCATCAGAGTTGAGGGGACCTCCTAGGTGTTAAGTTCCTTTGGCTTTTAATCATAAACCAAGGGCGAAGCTGTCAGAGTCCACACTTGGAAGCAGTGGCTCATGGATACAAGGAGGCTCGCTAAGCAGCGTGCTAGCCCAAACAGCTTAGCTGCAAAAACTGGCGTTCATGGCTGCACAGAGCCACCCGTGAATGCTCTCACGTCTCCAGCCTAAGCAGAACGTACTCTCTTGATACATGTTGAAGCCAATCTGAAAGGCAGCCAGGGAAGGCTTCAAATAATCAAAAATATCAGGGTAACAGTGAGAGCAAGTGGGAACAAGTGAAGGGAAGAAGAGGAGACTCAGAATTGCAGGAAGGAGGAATATAGACACAAACATGATGTCCCAGGAAATTGTAATGAGGAAATACTGGGAAGAGAATCTATACTAATTCTTCTACAAAGGAGGAAGAACAGCATCATCAAAAAGTGAGATTTATTATTGCTTTTATAACTAGATATGACATCAGTCCATTGTTCAGATAATTTCCAGACCATGTTAATAATATCAGGTTGTGACAAATATTAAATGTGTGTATTCACAGCCATACATCTGGTTTCAACAGATACTACAATCCAAAGCGGTGATGGATCTTCCCTTGTAGTTTATCCTGACAGCTACAACATGTGCAAGGAATAATTTTGAAGCTGAATGCATAAAGCTCATATCCTGGTCAGATCCTGGTCAGATATACGCATTAAAACTGTGCTAAAAGCCTGCAGTTTACAATCAAACTGCAGTTCTGGTAACTTTCTTTTAAACCACATTTTTATACAGTTTACAAAAAGTAATTTATTATTCTTCACTACATCTTCTACCTTAGCTACATTATACTGCTGTGAACAGTTTTTCATGATGAATACATGGGGGCACAGTTGTGATAAAATCACTTTAAATATTGTGCAAACGGCAAATATATGGAAAATGTTATGAAACAATTCAATTAGCAGAAGTGGAATTATGTTAGAATGTTATGGACAAAGACTTGACTGAGCTAAGATGATTTATTTTTTTTTAATAGTACACATGCTGAGACTATGTCACCCAAAATGCATAAACTTTTTTTTTTTTTAAAAAAAATTGCTTTGTAGACATTCTTTTTGTCACATAAGAACATTGATATTTACAACTCCAGACTGACTCTGGAGAATACACTGTCAAAGGGAATACACACCTGATCATCTTGGTTCGTATGTCTGACAAGATACCGTAGAAAATCAAATCTGGAGCATTTACGAACTAGAATGAGGTCAGCTGAGCCATCTGCCAAATGAGCTGCTGGTGAAAGACCTTTTGGACTTCGTGTACAGGCACAGCTCATATTTACTGCATTGATGGCTAGAAATTTCCCTTTAATAACCTTCCATTCTTCATCTTCTGAAACACATCAATAAAGGCATGGAGATAGGTTATTATTTGATCTACTCACAAGAGCACTAAAAAGAAGTCTTTCTTGGCAACTTAAAAGATTTTACTGGGCATATTCATGCGCTGTCAATACATATCTAAAATAAACTGCATTAAAAAAAACCCTGGTTTTCATATACTAACAGAGAAAGTTGCTTTCTCCCTTCACAGACAGATTATCTACTAAAACTGCTCACCGTTTCTGACATATGCATGTCAAATTCGGGATCAATGCTATTTGGATAAACCCACAAAGCCTCAGACAGGGAAAAGACAGAGGCAAGTTACAACTCTTGTAGTGTGAAAGTTAAGGAGGACTTCTAACTTTTTAAAAAGTTTTATCCTTGCTTTTCAGTGTGTTAACCTTAAATAAAAATGATGCAAAGACAGTGATTTAAAATTTGGTTTCTAAATAAATATTCCTCTTCAGCCTCAATGACAAAAATTGTATTTAAAAAAAAGAAGACAAAAAGGGAAGCGATGACTCAGGGTTCAGCAAGGACCAGCAGGCAGCAGATCGTGAATCTGTTTCCAACCCCACCCCCGCCACCCCAAAATGTCTGAATATGAATACTATAATAGAGTTGAACTTTCCTATGTGTAAATCATCAGAGATCTCTGGAAAACAATACAAAAGTCTGTTTTCAACAACCTGAAACTGTTCTCTTAGAGATTACACCTAGACTGAGTTTGAATGTATGATGGCATCAATACTACCAAGAGCAAAGGAATTTTCTGAAACAAAGAAACACTGGCAGGCACTGCACACAGTTGTCATCTCAACTGTATTTTCTTGAATATGGATAAAAATAGATTAAAAAATACCTTTGCATTTTAGATGACACATAATTGCCTTCCTCACTACAATAAGAGTAAGCCATAAAACAGCCATAATACTCCTTTTCTCCTCCCAATATAAGTAGACTCAGATATTTCAAATGAACAACTCCACAGGAGTAATGAATGCGGAATAATCTATGGAGATACACGTGGTTCTACAACTAGAGTTCAGGAGTGAAGTGCCATTGTTGATGATGGGGTTAAAATTAAGGAATGCACAAAAAATGGTCATGTTTGTTTATATAAGCTTGTTAAAGTTTGATCATAAACCACAGCAAGGTAGAGGTTTTGAGGCACGTTAACTGCTATGGACTTAGAAATCTAACATCATACAGTTCCCCACATTTTGGTTAACTTACAGTGATTTTCAAGATGCTTCTTTGATAGGACTATAGATGACATTTATGCTATATATTTAGTGTCTTGAAATTCTGATATTCTTTACTGTCTTAGTTTTAGGAACTTCACATTTGCTTTAGAGAATCATTACAATTGTCTAGGCAATTTTGAACCTAAAGTCTATGATGCACTCATTTTGAATTGACCTCTTCCAAGTTTTATACATCAGAAAAAGAAGAAAAAAAAAAAAAAGAAAAAAAATGTTTAGAAACTGTTCTGTTTTGTTCTTTGCTCTTTGAACTTTTGTTGCTTCCTTGAATTTTCATTCATTGGAACTTCTTACTGATCACTCTTCAGTAACAGAACCAAGAAAAACAGAATTCCAGGAAAAATAGAGTGGGATTATAACGTGACAAAAGACTCAAAGGACACTAAAAACTTTATTCTTTTTCCACCGAAACTATCCTCTCTATCTCCTGATAAACAAATCAGTAATAACAAGAAAAAATGCAGCTCTTAAATTTGACATTTTTGAATCATTTGACAGAATGGTTTTAGTATTGCTAGCTTTACTGTTGTTCTTTTAATGTTGCTTTCAAACAGAACATTACAGAAAGAAATCATTTACATCACATTCAAAATGTGTATCTGAAGAGAGATGAGAAAGACTTCAATGTCAAACTACAGAATGAATGTGTTCAGGCTGCAGGCAAATGATAGGGCCCGACTCTGAGATTAAAGTAACTGAACAGAACATAAAAAACTACCGGAACTGGAAAACTCCGTGTCCAGAACTATACAAGTGCTTACTAACAAAAAAAAAAACCCAGGTGTTTTCTGAAACACGAACAACAAAATGAAAACAACACCATTTACTGATAAATGCTTTTGTTCTTTATCTGAGAGGCATTAATAAGTACGTCTATAGTGTGTCCAGATACATGTTAACTTTAGAAGTACGCACACGGTAATAAATCTCACATTACTTAAGGCAGAATGCGTATATATGTTACTGTAACAGACTTTTCACCTGGTTGAAACGTACCCTTCAGTATACATTTCAGCATGTTACTCAAAAAAAGCTTCACTGTTCAAGTAAGAACAAAGTCGGGGTATTTATCACATTTTAAATGACCAACTGTTTTCATAACCATTCTGCAGGGTGCATCACTGTAATAGCACAAATTCTTTGCCCAGAATATCTTTCGTACAATAGAGGAAACTTAAGCAGGGAGACCATAAACTGCACTCATGTCAACTGTCTATTGTGTACATATACTGCAAGTTGCTGAAATCAGCATAAAGTACCAACATTCAGAGTTTAGTCAGCACACGCACATAGAATTCTGCACACAATACAGAGAAATATGTTCAGTGACAGTCAGTGCAAACATCCTTCTAAACTTATCTGAACTGTACACAACCCAAGCAGGCACAATGAAGGGGTCAGCCAATACACTTTGCCGAGTAAAAACCTTATCTGAGGTGGCGATTTAAAGTAGTCCTTTTTATTGCAAATCGAGAGTAGCTGATGTTATTCTTTGCTTACCAGTGCTGCACAGAGAAGAGATTGGACTGCAAAGAAAGCCAGCTGCCAGAAGTAAAATGGATTTAAGTAAACAATATCCTACATAATCAGTTGCTTAATGTCTTGTGCAATGCTGGCTAAAGCAGTCTTGATTGCTCACTAATCTGTAACTTTCTTCTACCTTTGCTCCTTTGCTGGATCAAAGCTAACAAAATGGCAGATTTAAAAAGCAACAACAACGAAAAACCCCAAACCCCACCAAAATGCAAAAAAAACCAAACAAAAAATACCAAACAAAAAAACCCCCACAAACAAAAGAAAAAACGTTGGCAATTTATAACTAGTTATTTCTCAGAAAGACAGATTTAGCTATCAGATTTAGCTCCAAAGAAAATATTATGTAAAGCAATTTCTTTAGCTGAATCTGGGCATAAATTAAAACAACTCAAGAAATACTCCAATCTGGCCATCTGTTGACTATATCACAGATCTGAAAACAGTAGCTGGGATGAAAGCACTATAGAGAAGCACGTGTAACAGGAATTCAAATTGGCATAGAAGTATATATACAGACTTTATGCTACCAATGAATTTCTATAGTATGACGATACTCTTTTTGCTAACAAATGGCTAGAACCTAGCACAGATACTGTGCAAAATAACTGTAATTATAAAATAATCTAGGTCATAAGGACCGATGTTTATGTCAAGAAAATTACAGTTTTTTGCACCAGGCTTTACAAGGAAAAAGAGTAAAAAAAGTAAAAGCAGAATCAAGCACCAGTAGGAAGGCTGCTTACAGTTTAAGAGGGGTTTATCCAAGCTGATGAACTGAGATCAGAGGCGAAACTCAGTCAACTGAATCTGCATATGCTACTCCAGCAAATCCACAAGTCTATCAATACCAGTGCTTCCCATTAGGACATAGTAGTCAGACATAAAGAGATACAGCTAGGAGGATGACTGCACAGAATTCAATATATTAACAGTTGTTTTAACAAAAGGAAGAAAAAGTTATGCCCATAGAAAAATCCATGGAAGTGTGCACAGGAGTTGGAATGGGGGGAAAAAAGAGAGTAAGGATAGCGTAACTAGAGAAATCTTATTTATTGTTTTTACTGAGCACTGGTGGGGTACTGTACAGAAATACTCAAGCTCATGGTTTAACCCCAGCCGGCAAGTAGGACCACGCAGCTGTTCACTCACATCCTCCCCCCGCCCGGCAATAGGCTAGGGAGTAGAGAGAGGAAAAAAAAAAAAAAAGAAAAAAACTCGTGGGCTGAGATAAAGACAGTTTAATACAACAGTAGAGAGAATAATAATAATAATGGTAAAAGAATATACAAAATCAGTGATGCAGTACAATTACTCTCACCACACGAAGATCAACTGCCCGGCCCGTCCTGAGCAGCGATTGTGGATTTCCCCCCCCCTTCATTTATATACCGAGCATGATGTCTATGGCACGGAAAATCCTTTTGGCAGCTTGTCCTGTCTATGCTCCCTTTCAGCTTCTATGGGAAGGTGAAAAAGCCCTTGACTTAATATAAACATTACTCAGCAACAACTAAAAAAATATTTATTATCAACATTATCCTCATACTAAATCCAAAACACAGCAGCTACTAGGAAGAAAATTAACTATCCCAGCTGAAACCAGGACAGTCCACTAGACCAGTTAATAGTTGTCCAAGTTCACTGCCTCACATTTATTTAATAAACAGCTTTACATTGGGTGACTTTTGTGCTAAGAAACAGAAATTTTTAATCCAGATCTATTCTAAAAGTTATCTTAATGAACTGCTTCCTTCTATACTGCCTCACAGTTTATCAGTTAAGTCCTTCTTACAAAAAGAATAGAGTCCCAGCTCACAAAATATATCTTTTTTTAAAGGAAAGAAACCCAACACATTGAAATATACATGTAATTAGTATAATTTTATCAGAATTTTCTGAGGTTTGGGTGGAGGAGATACCTTACATATTTTTCACATATTTACATGTATTTTCCTTAAAATTAAAGAAATTATGGATTATCTAGTATCTCGCATGTTTTAAAAAAACAAAACACAAACATTTGACCTGATATATTCTGAAAAATAGTATTTTGTATATTACTACACCATCTTACTTTTTATGACAAATTACCTTCACGTTTTAATCCACATTCCTTGTGCTGTTCTGCCAGCTGTTGCTCAGTTTTCTTGCAAATGTAACATCTGAAAACAGAAATACCATTCAGTTCCTGAAAACAAAACTATTATTCAGTTTAACATTTTTGGTTTACCCCATCATTATAGGACCTTACTCCACCACAAGATGCAGCATGGCACTGGCAACCCTGACGTGGCATGAATCATGATAGCCCTGCAGGCAGTACAGTTACTTAAGTACAGTGCTGAAGATTACGGGATGTCAAAAATAGCAGCATTACAGAGCCATAAGATCATACAGGTTGGAAGGGACCTCTGATGTGGTCCAAACCGCTGCTCAAAGCAGGTCTTAGAGGATCAGTGTCTTGTTCAATCACGTTCTGAATATCTGCAAGGGTAGAGTCCACAAGACCTCTGGGCAACCTGTTCCAATATTTGACTGCTGTAACGGTGAAAGACATTGACATACCAGAACCAGTCCTTCATCTCTGAAGTGCAGAGTACAGGGGAAGAATCACCTCTCCTGACCTGTTGGCTTCTCTTTTGCTTAGAAAGCCCAATATATGGTTGGCCTTCCTTGCTGCAAGGACACACTACTGACTTAGGTACAGCTGTTGTCCCCCAGGATCCTAAAGTTCCTGTCGGCAGAGCTGCCTTCCAGTCAGTGCCCAGTCAGTACTGTTGCACAGGACTATTCCACCCCAGGTACACAATGGTTGCCTCTCCTGAACTTCAGGAGGTTCCTATCAGCCATTTCTTCAGCTCACCAAGGTCCCTCTGAATCGCAGCCTCGACTTTCAACATGTAAACGATTGCCTCCCAATCTGATATCATCCATAAAACTGCTGAGAGTGCACTCTCTGCCACTGTCCCAGTCATTAATAAAGATGTATTAGCCCTGCTATTGATCCCTGAGGGATACCATTAGTAACTGTCTGCAGGATGGACTTACTCACAACCCTTCCAGGTAGTCTGGCCAGTTTTCCACCCGTCCACTTACTAGTCCACACCTCATCAATTTGCTTTTAAGAATACTACAGGAAACAATACCAAAGACCTTGCTAAATTCAAGGTACATAACACCCACTGTTTCCCCCTCATCCACAGGCCTGGGGGAACACTACATCAGTGAAAACTGGGGCAAAGGAGTCATTTTCCAGCCTTTTCCATATCTTTTGTCAGTAGGTTCCCCAAAGCACTAAGCAGCAGACCCACAGTTTTAGCCTTTTGTTGTAACTGGTATACTTCCATAATCCCTTTGGTAAGAAGTAACATCCTTCAAATTCCTCACTGACTTCAACTCCACCTGAGCTTTGGCTTTCTCAGTTCCATCCCTGCATGTCTCGACCATGTCTCTGTGTTCTTCCAAAGTAACCCATTCCACTGCCACCTTCTCTTTACCTCTCAGATTCTTGGTCATCCACTTGGGTATTCTATCATGCTTACTCAAGTTTCTGGATATCAGAATGCACTGTTATTGTGCTTTGAGGAGGTACCAACCAACTATCCTGGGCCACTTTGTCCTCCAGGGCAGTCTCCCCTGGAATCTTGCCAAGATTCCTGAATAAACCAAAATCTGCTCTCCAAAAGTTCAGAGTTGCAATTCAACTTCTTGCCTTGCTTACTTCTCTCAGGATTTAAAACTCTATAATCTCACAGTCACTGCTGCCAAGACTGCCCTCACCCGTCACATCCCCCACTTTCCTCTTCTGTAACAAGTCCAGCAGAGCATTTCTCCTAGTCAGCCTGCCAATCACCTGCACGATCACTGTCATCACCACACTCCAGGATTCTCCTGAATTGCTTGTGCCCAGCCCTACTGCCCTGAAAGGGCAATTATCAGGATGTATAAAATCCCCGAAGAGGCATCAGGCACTCTACTCCCTGACTGAGACCCAGAGGACAGCTTTCTCCCTCTGGAGCTTCCCCTACATCAAAGCACCTGATGGACCAGGATAGTTGCTCCAGCTAGTACTGGAGACCATGATCCATAGCTTGTCACAGCACTATTACTACTCCACAGTCTCAAGTTTCAGGTAGTTTCTGGTGCCTCTGTATCCTGCTGTGCTGTTTGCTGCTGTGACAGCTGCTGTATCTCTGACAGATATATGATTCTCTGATTCACATATGAATAATAATAATAATAAATACCAGTGCGTAACTTCAAGCAGGTGAAAGCAAAGAGAAAGGAAGGAACACTTGGAGATTAAGGTAGGCCCCCTGATTGGAGAAACAAGTGAAAAATATCACACAGAATTTAAACAACATAGTAGTAGTTATAAAAAAAGGCTAAATACACTGATTTCTGAGAGGACCTATCCTCAGAACAAGCTGTGCCAGCTGTTGTCATGGCACTAAAACAATCCCTAAAATTGCTAGATCCAATTACAATGTGAACATTTGAGAATTTTTGAATAATTATTTCCATTTGTAGAAGCCATGAGGCATCCAGACTTTTCATTTATTAGCAGTAACACAGCATAGTACCCTCAGTATCGTGTAATAGGTACTGTGCTGTTATACTTTGCTTAATTTAAAACTGGGAGGGGGGGTCACCAGCTAACAAAATTTTATTACATTTTTGTTTACTGACCTGATAAAATGAGGTGTTCTCTTTAATGAGTCAATAAACTTTTTTTACAAGCTTGCCTCTTTCAGAGTAACTGTTTTGATATTAAAACCAACATTTTTGTGACTTCTATGTACAAGCCTTTTAAAATAGTTCATGTCAAATATCCAGAGCGAAACATTAGCCTACCCTGCTCTGCAGCTATCTTTATCTCGTGGAGATCCAAGTGTGTGTTTTGCTGGTTGAAAAGAAATTGTTCCTTCATAGTAATGATGAGAAAGAAAAGTCTTGAAGCCTACATAAAAAAGGCATTAAGCAGCATTAAGTCATTATAAGTCCACATTGCAAACACTTCTGCATACATCCCTTGATTGTTCCTCTCTTTCCATCTTTTGCAAAACATGTTTTAGACTGTAAAGGACAAGGAAATACCACTCCCGTAACTTTTTAACATTTGCCAATAGTTACATTACTTTGTTCGACATCTTTAAAAGTCAACTAAACATTTTACCTGTACATCACTGCTGAAGCTTAAAATTGGCCTACACTACTTCTTCTCTATATATAATCAGTGCTGGAAGAAGGACCAAATTAGCAATTCATTCAATCAGCTGAATGTCTAAAAGAAGTGCCTATCTCTCGCTAACTGACTGAAAAGAACAGCAAACAGATGAGCACAGAAAAGATACTACGTTTTAGGCAGCTATCACCAAGTGAAATATATTCAACAACTTTAATGAGCACACTGTTAATGTTATTCCCCAAGTTACGGAGCTTTACATAATGTGATCAAATGTAATTGTACTACAATGAGTTTAAAGGCAGGTTCGGTCTGTCTCTGATGTTTAAAAGCTTCAGAGAAGTTTGATTTGGAGAGAGCACACCAACTGCTTCAATATGTTTACATTCTGACAAAAGAACGTGATAATTACACAAGTTACCTGAGTAGTCATATCTTATCGGACCCATCCACCGCTTCTTTTCACTGTCTTTTAATATATCTCCATAAAAACCATAACCCAGCAATGATACATAGTACTTCAAAAATGTGTTGTTATGATGTACAGAAGAGACATCCAGAGGCTGACAGTCACCTATGAAGATCAGAAGTGCAAGGTTCTATTAAGGCTTATTTTGTTTGCAGCTGCAAACATGACAGTAACTTTAAAGTTACCAGTTTTTTAAAAGTGAAAAACAAATGTTGTATTTATGTCATAACATATATGTCATACATCCATATATATTTCTTATACATGCAGAAAGGGTAAAATAATTTTTAATAGTAATTGAATACTTAAAAAGCATAAGCACTAAGTGAGAAGAAAGGTTGGTATACTAAAAATATATAATGAAGAATTTACACTAATTTACCATGTAGCAATAGGAGAGGGTGTTATAGAAGAGATCAATGCAACATCTGTACATCTACCGGATGCTACTTAATCCTATACGTCATACAGAAGATAATTCCAGCTGGAAAGGGGCATTAGGACGTCTCTCATCAAACCTACCACTTAAAGTAGATTCAGCTATGAGGTCAGATCAGGTTACTCAGAGCTTATCCAGTCAAGCCACCTTGCTGATGTCCTGGCAGTGTAAGATTTAGAGTAGTGGTGGGGTTTGCGGAGGTGGTTTTGTTTCTTTTCTTTTTTGGTGTTGTGTTTGGTTTGGTTATTTTCTTTTTTTTTTATTATTATTTCAATTTATGCCCATTGTCTCTCATGCTTCCACCACAGGCTACTGTGTAGACTCCTTTTCGTGATTAACACTCTGAAAAATCTAAATATACGTGTCTATATGCACATTTAATAATCCAGCAAAAATCTGTGATATAGTAAATCCACCTCTCTCTCTAATCCTAGTCTAATGGCCTAAACTCTACTTATGCTGAACAGATTTCACCATAGGTTAGTAACAGAGAACCACGGGCAAATCTTTGCAACACCAGCTCCTAAAACTGCAACTGTTAAGCACTCAATAAAAAGCGATAATGAAATAATCATCGTTTGGAAATGCTATCCTCTATGCTCACACAACATCATTACAACTGAAGACTGCCTTGCACAATTTTTCAAATTCAGTATTAAGAACTGGGTGACTATAGTTCTTCAGTACGTAGCAGATAGGATGGGCATCACAAATCACAATGTGCTGGATATGCCAAGCTGTCTCCTTCAGCCCCCATGAAGCTCAGGGACTCCATTACTAGAGGACTTTGAGAAGTGGCAATGTCAGCATCCTACTGATGACAACATATCAAAAAACATTTATTGAAGAGTAGTTGTTTTCCTCCCTAGTTTCTCTTCAAATCTATGACTTACAGATTGTAAAAATTGGTAAGTATCAGCTAATTCCAGTCAAGCAGAAGCCATACTTTTAACTTGGCATGGAAGCACAGGATAATTGGGCAACTAGTACAAAATACTACTATTCAAGTGTACATGCACTTGTCATAGTTTTCTCTAAGAAAGAGAGATGCCATCAACTTACACTGCTCACTGTATTTTACTGCTATTTTCAAAAGCATGCCAGAATGCATGAAAACTTAAGTACCAGATATAGAGCTTCAAAATGTTATGATCCCTTGAAAGCAACGAATTACAGTAGAGAAAGCAATTAATTTTTAACCTTCTGTGTTTCAAATCAGAGACTTAAATCCCAGACAAAAACTTTGTATTTCAACTCAGCCATTGTGTTCAAATTATATTTCACAGACATCTAGAAAGAACTAAATGAAACTACTGTTTCTGGCTATTTTAATTGTTTTCATACCAGAACATTGAACTTTGACCACCCACCTACAATAATATGAAGAGCTGATGTTACTGGATCAGAAATGCCAACAGTTGAATAGCATATGCAATCTGTTGATCCTGAAAAATAAAAAATCAGAGATTAATTCATATCTTTTCAGAACAAGTATTATTGGCATGGTCCTCCAAATAAAAACATTATGTTCCTTTGGCTTGCCCCTTTCTATTTTATGGAACAGAGTAAATACAAGGATACAAATATTATGATTTAAATTGAAACTTTTTTTCCCCCTCAATGAGCAGGATTTATTTCTTTCCATGCAAAGCACAAAGATTTTCACTATATAAGCAATAAATACATAGCACTTAGTAAAGGAAAGCAAGTTAATTCACATGAAAAATTTCAGGATTACATTACAGCTTTTACATGAATCAGTTTTTTGGGAAAGTGATCTAAATTCCAGGCTGTCAACACCCCCTCCTCCTCCAGCTGCATCTTGAACCAGAAAATCCTGCTTAGTTCTACTATTTGAAAATTAGCAAACAGTTGCTTTCAGGAATTTATATTATATATATAACTATTTATAGATAGGGGAGCAAAGTGGATAGAGATGTGCCTTTACAGTCTTGAGCAAAATACCTACCAGAAGAAAGGGGGGAAGCTTTAAGTTTTGTCTATATTCTGTCTCTGTTACTAACTACCTTCAGGCCACTGCTCCATCAGTATGTCTGCTCAGGATTTTAGGTGCTGTTTAGGGACAGACAATTCTCCCTGATCCTTATAAAAACCAATCTAAGAGCCTAATGCAGGGTTCTGATTTTTACCCTGCTGCAGGGACTTGGAAGTCAGGGCCAGACATACCAAAGCATTTTTGTTGCAGCACTCCAAATTTATCTTTTAGTTTCTCCCCATCCCTTCCCTGAAAAGGAACTCCTTTACAGTCAAGGCTGGAAATCTGAAACCAAAAAATTACTTGGTCCACATATATGTTTCCAGATTTGCTACCAATACTCTAGGTGTAGAGCAGCTCAGGTACAGAGCACTTCATTTCTGAGACCTAATCAAATTGAAATAGAAAACTAAAAATGGAGGAATAAGCAATCACTATTTGAAGATCTGCTTCTGGTTATTTCCAAATTTGAAATCAGTCAAGGCATATATAGTTTGCAATAGGAGCAAAGAAAATCCTTTCCCCTCCAACTGACTCCTCAGGAGATGGACACCACTTCCCCCGCCAGCCAGGGCGAGAGAGAAGCTTCTATCAAGCCAACGCTATGCAGAAGCCTGCCACCGTGAACGAGAAGCAGCTGCAGCAGCCAATTAAAGAGAATATAACAGAACTGCAGAATAAAAGAAACAGTCTGACCAGAGAGATATCTCTCTGCAATGCTGAGGTTCAAGACTGTGCCAAGTATATGCCATTGCACAGGAAATGGGACTCCAATTTCTCTCAGTATTGTAACAGACAAAGTACACAGATGACGTTATCGTGCCACATTTGGAGTTTTATAGCAGAACATATTAAGCAGAGTCCAGATACTGAAGCTATGCTTTACTGCCAATTTTTTCATTTTCATTTTGTCTCCTACACTCATGAATTTCATTTAGGCAGGAAAGAAAATGCTCACTATTTTTGAAAAGAAAAATAAACAAATAGTCACTAGAAGACCTGACCTGAACATTTACTGCTGAACGTACAAGCCTAACATTTCGTCCAGCCTTTCTCATTTCTTCAAGATCTGTTTGCATTCTGCAGCTAGAATTACTTTAGTCACATTTGTTTTGATGTAAACAGAGTTTCCAAGTAGTCTTACACTATAGGTGGGAGGAGAAGAGAGGCAGTCAAGCAAGCTACATTATAACACCAAAGGCTTATCTCCCTGTGCTCTTCTGTACTCAATTAAAAGCTGAATTTATCTGTTGGGAAATTCTATAGAACTTATTTTCATCTCTATTCATTAACTAGCAAGGGAGGGCTAAAATTAAAGCTGAATTCTGAAATTAATTCTGAGATTCTAAATTGGGAGTCTGGGGAAGACACCAACAGCATTTACCAACTGCCAAATCATCCCTCTTTCTCAGACGTGCCAGCAGAGTACCAACTGCTAACAGTAAGATACCATTTTTTTTTTCCTCTCAGAGCCAGCAGTATGGAGCAACAAAACCGGTATCATTCCTTACGTACATTCCAAGAGAATATAATTGGTCATAACACCACACCAACCATGAACCTAATGGTACTAGCTTAAATGTCACAAAAGTGTTCATTATGTCTAAGGATTTGAATCTCTCTGAATATTTCCTAACCAAACGGGAATTCTAGACCATTAGGTGGGCCTTGACTAGATTTGGAATCTACTACTGCTGAAACAGCACCCTCAGTAGATGCACAATGCAAACCCCACCGCAATCTGGCTTATTTCATCAGTGTGAATGTGATATGGAAAGCAGGAGTAGAACGTAAATATAGCTTGACTAATAGCCCTTTATTAATAGCTTTGGATTGCCAGAGCACTCAATTTGGGCAAGAAGCTTTCACAGAGCACGACTCTTGACTAGTGTTAAGTGACGGATGTTGTTTGTTCTGGTTAAACCAACAGAAAAATTATACACATACTCTGCCAGATTTTGTTTGGGGATTTTTAAGGGCAATGGCCTAATGGAGTGAAGGAAAATAAATGAGGTTTTTATGGGTTGCACAGAACCACAAGGAAATGCGAAGAAAGTAGTTGGGCTGCTTGTTAACTGAGCCCTAATTCATTAAAAAAGAAAGATCATCAGTGTGGAAACTAATTGTTGCACTGGTGTGCTAGAAGAGAAGAAAATCAGCATGCTGGGGAACGACTAAGTTTCAGGTTAAGATACCTAGAATGTACATGTAACACTGCAGACTATGTCAAAGCTTCCATTCTGGTCAAGGAGATCTTGTCAGGACAGCTGACAGCAGCTTGAGCCTGATCCAAGGTACTCACGCGCAGGCCCCAGTTGAAGGGCCTTAGGAAACAAGACATCTGCACAAGATGGGCAGATGCAACACAAGATCTACAGGCTCTACCGACCATATTGACCAGGCGTCCCCGGCTATAACATGAGTTTAGATGCCCATCCCCCCTGCAGACACCTAAATGTCAGCATGAAAATCTGAGTATCAATTTCAAATTGAAACTCACCCTAAGGAGAGTAACTCCGTTACCTAAAATGATACCAACCAGCAGTGTTCAAGTGCTGCAGACTACTCTGCTTGGCTTCCAATTGCTACTCCAGTACAGCGGTTGTCTTGCATAGGGCTAGTACATTTCAACGATGGTGGCACCATACCACCATATGTAGACAGCCGAATCCCAAACTAACTGCCCGAAATCTCCCAGCTAAAGAAAATTCCCATCCCAGATATTTTAAGAGTCCACTGAAAATGTGAAGCGTGTAAAGGACACTTCAACTAGGGTTTGTTAAAATAAGTATAATTACTTTGAATCTTTACCACATTATTATGTACACTACAGCCCTGTTTCATTACTCATTTTCCCCAAAGTCTGTCTGTTATCAGGAGGTATCATACAGCCCTGTAGTTGTTATATAGGCAAGTTCTTCTACTTTCTTTCTCTCCCCAAATTTAAACACTGCAATTTAAAAAATAGATTTAAAAATTATCAAGGAAATCCTTCCTTTTAATTAATCACAAGAAGAAATGATCAAGATATGTATTTACAATATTAAAGAGTATGTACTCCCCATAAAACATTTTTGCTAAAGCAAGATTAAAGAAACCAAAGTGATAGACTGCACTACATAGAATACAGTACAGCTAAATCACCAGATTTCCCCTTTGCATGCAAATATTGCTGAGTATTTGTGAGTAGACAAGTCACGCAGACAGGTGCTCAGACACCACCTCACAGGCTTTAAATTGGTCATAGAACCACCACAGCAATAAGCAAAACCAGATGATTTACTGGTTGTATGGAAGAGTTCATGCCTTTGATTCTGTGAAACAAACAAAAAAATAATCAAAGTGCTAGAATAAATAATCTGAAAAATGATTAGACTACTAACTTACAACTAAGTTTTCTTAAACCAAAACACACATGCTGTGGGCTACAAGTATTGATTTTCGTGCTTTCATTGATGGAAAACAAAAAAAAATTCCAAAGAACTAGACGTAATAAACTAAGCAGATGACAGAAGCAACAGTCAGCTAGATGTTAATCCTATAAAAAAGAGTGAGCTTAATAAAGAAATAGAAATACTCTTAGTGCTCATGAGCGTTGCTCCACATGAGACACCCTTGACAGGAGCAGGTGCTCCCACAGCATACACAGAATCCCCATAGACAAATTAGCACGGCAACGGGATTCTGCGCTGCAAAGAGGTAGAGTAACAACTTTAATGGGGTTCCCATACATTTGTAGTATTTTTGTGAGGTCACAATCCATGCATTCACCTCATAGACAAAATACCAGGTGAGCCAGGCTAATGACAGAGTAACTGCATGCTCTTGGCAAAGCAGCATTTAGTATTTTGAAAAATCTAGATGGCGACTTTTATGGGAAGTGATTTTCCAGTGACAAGGATCTGACACAATACAAAAGTAAGGGGAGAAGCTACTGTTACAGAATGGCCTGGGCATACAGCCATGTTCCTACTCAAAGTTTTATACATCTTCCTTTCTGCACCCAGAAACCAAGAAATCAAGTTTAACATATGCAGAATGTCAGCCTGGCTTTAAAATGAACAGTTCAGAAGGACTTTGTTCTAGGTTTTTTGGGGAGATAATTACTTCAGCAGAAGTTCAGTAGCACAGTACAACAAAAATGGATTAATACAATAATGGCAAATTTAAGGGATAAAGTTAACGTCACAGAGAAAAGTAATCTTGACTTGGTTGTCTTCATAACAGCCCCACCATATTAAATGCAGTACTTAGCTCTAAAACTGTCATTTCCAGAAATATAATGAATTTAAAAAGCTGAAGTAGGAACACAACATTGCACTTCAGATTTCAAACTGGACATACTGAACCTTGAAATGAGATACTAACTAAACTGCAAAGATCATTAAATATTACAAATGTTGTAACAGAGAAGGCTGTGGGCACATCACTGGGAGTCATTTAAAAAAAGAATTAGACAGCTTTTTATGCTATGCTTTAACACATTTTCGACGAGAAATTTTACAGCCTAGATGACAGTAGTATAAGAGTCCAGTCACGCTTCATGATTTTACTTGCATCTATTTAAGTTTGTGAATGAATCCTCCACCGTTTTTCTATATTACTTTCACATAAGAAGCCTGTACTGTCTTTAGCATTCTTAACTTCTACAGCTACACATCGACATGCTGATTATAATCACACTGTGTGCTTCAGTCCTAGACGTTACAGAATTCACACCTTGACGACAACAAAAGTGAAATGTATCTGGATACACTAGAAGCCTAAATTACTAAAGTAATTAACACTTTGCATCTACACTTTACCCAATCATACCTAGTGCTTGGAACATTTTTCCCCTATCCCCCCGGTAGGCTGGCAGACTTGGTTTTTGGAAGAATACGTACATTAATATTAAGCCACAGGACAGAGTGAAGTAGGATTTTTTTTTCTACCTGCTGAGATCTTAAGAGTATTTAATCTAATCTGTTCTCTTCTACTAAAGAGTCCTCCGACAGTAGCTGACAGCTTTGTCTCCTGTTCCATGCCAGGATTAGTAAGAAGAATAAATTATTTTGGCTTACTCTGGAGGGAATAATTTTAATACTAAAACACGTGGACAAAACCTCAGTGCCACGTGTTGTAAGAGAAATGATTGTTTGTTTTTAAGTTCTGTGGAGGCATACCACCACTCTGAATGCAGTGAGAAACCATGGCTGAATGTGCTTTTAAGGCTAAGATGGCAGTAGGAGAAAGTAATAACTAAACAGAAGTTTTAGTAGGTGCACTGACTTGTAGTTACCACATCGCAGTACAAAACTTTGTCAGGTTCCTAGAACCTCTAAGTACTCTTAACAGCAAGTCTGTTTACAACAGCATTCAGTCAATTTACACCGGCAGATTTGAAGAATGGTTGCAACTAAGAGAAACTCAGAAATTAAAACTGCCATTTGAGTAGAAGCCTTTATTCATGTCAATAAAAACACAAGTTATTTCATAAAAATGTACCATAAAGCATAAGAATAAATGACATTTGTTAACCAGAAGACACACTAAAGAAAGACACTGTCTGGAAACAGACACGTCAGAAAAAAAAGGGGCCAAGCAGGGGCTTGCTCCAGGAAGTTAGAATCATGATTTACAAGTAGCATCCAACATTAAAAAAAAAGAGCCTGTACCATGGGATTCTGCCTATGAAATAAAGCTAATTAATCAAAAAGCAGTCATAGATATGAGTGTTTTAGCATTAAATCACCTTCATTTGTAGTTTCAAAACTTTGTACCATTTGACAGTTTCCAAGCAACGATTAAGTCTGCTGATTTGAGTGTTAGTTTGAATACAGACAGTGTTTAATCACAACCACAAACCACAACCTGCCACCTTTCTGTAAACACAGCTTGACATTAGGAACTAAATGATCAAAAAGGCAAAAACACTGCTTCAGTGTCACCTTACCCCAGGCTCCTGCCCTCATTGAGTGAAGTGTCTCCACGTATCACAAAACAAATAAAGCTTTAGAGCTTAATCTCCAAACTATGGGTAGTGTTTGTTTTCAATATTTATTAATGAGTTCTTAGGATTTTAAGAAAAACATTGGTTACAAAGAACTAAAAAGAGCATCATGGATGAAGCTTTTCTAGATGCATGATTTGTATTTCATTATTCCTTTTGACTTGCTGTATTTTAGGACTGTCAGTTTAGTTTAAATAAATTCTTTTTAAGGATCTCACTTATTTTGGAACAGGTATCTTGCACTTGGTCTGGGAACTAGGGAGATCCACTGAGGTCAGAGAACAGCTTCACCTAAGGTCCCTGTGATGGCTGTATGTGTCAAGAAAGGGTTAAGATTTGTTCAGTGATTTGACTCCCTTTTTCAGTAAATGAGCACTTTCCCGTATTTTCAGTAATGGATCATTTCAAATACTGTACGATATACAAATAGATCAAAATATTTATTATCTTCTGTAGTTCCAAAACCTTAATTAATAGCACTTCAAGGCCAGCTTCCTTATACACCATTATAAGTAATTTTTGGGGGATCTAAATAACGGCTTGGTGAAAATATCTGAATCATAGTACAAGGCTCATGTTAGTTTAAGGAATAGAGCATGCAGCATACATTCAAACAGTAAACAGCTACAATGGACAAAACACAACAAACAAAACACTAAAGTATATAAGAGAAGAAAGTGACCTGATACTTTAGCAATATTAAAATATCAGTGAAGATCATACTTTTTGGTTGCAATTGGAAAAAATGCATTAAGAAGTTGCTGAAAAAGCAAGGTCAATCTTTCAATTTTAACACAGTTATAGTTAATTTCCTAAGGACAAAGAAATAGCTCTTAATATTAAGGTTATGTTTTTTAATTTGTATCTTCTTATGGTCACTAACATCACCAGTAGGCAAAATCTTCTGAAAGCAACCATGTAAGCAAAAAACTTTAGTCCAAGAAATTTGCTCAAATAAGGGAAATGAAGGGTGGAGCACTTCAAGTTCTATTCTTGTTAAGTTTATTATACAAACTGATTTTAATACTAAGTTTTAACAAATAAAATCAGAATATACTTAAATATAGTAATTCTGTTATATAGAACCCTTAGTGTGCTAGCTAATGAGGAGAATGAAAAACCATAAGGGGACATTGACATTACAACTTTTAGGTAACTAACCCTTATTGTTCTGCAAGCAGAAAGGGTTAAGCTTCTTCCAAGCAAGAATTCAGACCAGTTGGATTTGGATACATTCTCCACAAAGACATAATGAGTATAAAATTAGTCACCTAAAGGTTGAGAGTACATACATACTATTTCACTTGGTGTATTTTTATAAATTGTGCTAAGTTTTCTCAAAGTCTGTGTTTCAGTTCTAGTCAGAAGCTCATAATGTTTATTTCATATCCCAGTTCTTTAATTCAAATCTCAAGCATCCATCAAGGGAAAAAAAAAAAAAAAAAAAAAGAGAGAGAGAACAACACAGAAAAGACACTGAACTGTCCATTTGTCTTTCCACTGAGTCCTCAAAATTGAAGATGCTAAAGAGTTGCAACACTGAATCCAGCCCTGGAAGACAGTCATCTTGGAAGTCCACTTTTGAAGGGATCTTGGGGACCAACTGGGCAGGGTGAGGTAACACCTGAGACACTAGATTTAACAGCAAGATTAATCCCAATAGTGCCTATGGTCAATAAAAACAAAAAGTAAGTTTATCACCAAAGACCTGAACTCCAAGAATGCCTCTCAATGACAGTAGTCAGGATTGCCTGAAAAAGTGGCTGACATTAAGAACTGTGAAGGTATAGCAACTATAAGAAGGGGCAGAAACTGCAACTTGGTCTGGAACCCGAGAACTGTTCCTCAGCTGTAGTTGCTTTCTGTGATGATAACTAGGGGACGGAAGGGGGAGAAAAAGGAAAAAAGAAATTTTAACATTTGTTCGGAGTTTGCCAGACCAGTGGGACATTCTCATTACAATTCTAACTAAATTGGTGGAGCACTTGGGACCAGGAAAATATTTATCAGGTACGTCTCTGTTCAGTAAATTTCACTCAATGTGTTGAGATGGACAAAGGTATTACTCTTAACATCTTATCTTGTATTAACACACAATAAGCCACAAAAAAAAAGTAGTAGTAATTAAATTCTAAAGTTGCACATTAAGGTTTGATTTCCTGTACAAAATACCTTTCACAAATAAAATTGAACGTGATCAATAATTATACCAGGATACAAACAGTTTTAGCTAGGTGTCTTTACGCAATATCACTGCTCTTATCTTACACTTAGGCCTAAATTCAAGGAGTTATGAATAAGAAGAAATTTCAAGAATGAATGA